GCTTAGCACTTCCTCAGCCACATGGCCAGCGAATCCTGGCTGCTGTCCCCATGCACTGTGGCAGCCAAGCATGTTTAATGAACCCAGCAACGTGATAAACTATGTTTGTGTTAATCCCTTTGATTCCAACCCCCTCCGTGAGCTTCGGTATTCCAAGCATCCTTTGATGTGTCCTTCATCAGAACAATCAAATAAACACACTGGATTTAAGGCAGAAATGCTAACAGGAGTCCCAGGGCTCTTTTCATCCCTTCTACTTGGTGGATTGTACCTCCAGAAATAGGGCATGTGCAACCTGAAAAATAGGTGAAGGGGGCCAGGTGGCTCAGAGAAATGCCCTGGAGGTTCAACTTTAGCCTTCACTGGATCTGGCTATACTACAGTCTGGCTCCAGCTAATACCTAGTTATTTCACCTCAAACATTTTCCAAAACAGACCTGGTTTCCTGGGGGCAGATGGCTACAAGTAGTGCACTTGTTTATCTGGGGCGAGCAGTAGCTTGCGGAGAGGGCTATATTGTTCCTACCCTGGCAAGTGCCTCTGGGATGCCAACACACCTTCCCTCAGGACTTGCAAGTCTCCTGGGTCTAGGGGCTGGGCCAGCAGGGGCTCTCATGAATGCCTATTCTGGCAGATAAGGGGTGGGTAGGTAGTCCTGCCCACTGTGGAGTAGGGAAGAGAACACATTTACTCCTGTGTCACCTTAGGTATGCCCTGGGCCCTCAAAGTCAGCCTGGCACTCTGCCAGGGCTGGGCAGAAGAAAAATGACTGACAGCTCAGTTATTGGAAAGCTCCCATCATTAGCCTAGGAGCTTTGTTTGGTTTCTATGGTGACCTTCACTACAAGGGCCTGACTCAAGCTGAAGGAATGTGTTACCTAAAACCACCGCCAGAGCTCATGGCTTTAAGGAAGTATACTCATCAGCAGTCCTTTCTCTCCACCCCATAGCCCTGTGCCTCCTGGTCAGGCTTCCCAGCTGCCTCTTCCATGAGAAGGGAAGGACCAGCAAAGACAACTCTGGGCTTGCTTCAAATTCTCACATTCCCCACAGGAAGCCTGTGGCCTGCCTGCCTTGGGTCTCCTGGCCAGCTGGCACACATATGGCTCGGGCTTAGTCGGAAGCCCATGGGATTTCAGGAAGCTGCCGGGGGTATCTGGTTCCTGCCATACCAGGTTCACACTGTCCCCACGAGGCATCGTGTCTGTCTCATCACGTTTCTGCCTTTTTAAACCTGAGCCACACTAGACGAAGGCCATCTTACAGCATGGAACCGAAGGTCCCCTGCATTTTGCTTCCTAGTCCCTGAGTCAGAAGGGTTTTCAGAAGCTGGACGCAAGAAGACTGGGTTCTGTTCTGCATGCCTAGATGGTGCCTGTGTGGGAACAGCAATCTCTCTACGATGGACTTCACAAAAGTTCTGCTCTGCATGCTTAGACAGTGCCTGCTGCCCATGGGGCAACAGTGACCTCTCCATAAAGACTTGGACCTGCTCCCCAGAGCTGTGCCATCACTGAGCCCTGTCCCACCTTCCTTCAGCTCCTGACTCCACACACTCAGTCCCAGGTGTCAATGGGACTGCGTGTGGCACCCCCTCCACACTCTGACCTTAGATACAGTTGTCCATCAGCCCATGGCCTTCTTAGTCTGTGTCTCACAGTACACTTCAGAAGCAGAAGAGGCAGGGCCGATTTTTTAAGGGGGCACAAGTTGCTGTGGTTGGCACGGGTAAGTAACAAGTAATTCAAGGGCAATGACTTAACTAGCTGTTACTAGGATACACTCATAAGCTAGGGGTCCACTTACCTGCCAGCTTCCTCCTTTGCTTAGGCTGCTCCCAAGCAGTGGCAAAGCAGGTAGCCCTACATGGATCTGCTGGCTTTCCTCCCTGGGGGACAGTTCTTGAATCTGCTGCATTGATGGCTTTGCAGAGGGAAAAGTCTCTAGGTGGCTTGGCCACCAGGATAATGGCTGCAAGGTACTCGGTGGGAGACAACTTATATCATGAATCTATGAGTATTCTGAGAATAGACTTGGTTAGGGACAATGAGGTCAGCCAAGGGGGTTTGGTCTGTGCTGTTTTGCTGAGCGATATTTAATTAACTGCTAGCAACAGCTGGAGCCACACATGGCTCGCTCCCAGCTCAGGGAGCGGCTGGAGAAGGCAGGGCTCACAGTCCATTGAAGAGCAATGACATTTTTCAGTGATCCTTGACCCGTAATGGACTCAATGACATTTCCTGCTGATCCATGGGTTTTTGTACTCCAGGGTTTCATCTGTGGGGAACAGTATTGACTTATTTGCAAAGGGATATGGTCACTCAACAGACTCAGGATGTGTGTGTGTGTGTGTGTGTGTGTGTATACATACATACATATATACATATGTATGTATATATATATTTTTTCTTTCCTATAAGAAAGGTTTCTTTTCTCACATTCTGATGGCCTGAATTGCGCATATTCCTATTCTGGTTAGTTTTGTAACCTTCTAGGGCCAGAGCAGATCAAAGAAGAGTTCCTGAGACTGGGAACTGATGGGCTCAAGATTAAAAAATGACCTCTCTGCCTCATCGGACCCCCCCCCCCAATTGAGCACACTAAGTGGGGGAATTCTCTTCGGGGTAGAAAGAATGCACTCATTCCCTACAACTCTGCAAACACTCTGTACCGACAAGGATCAGTAATGTGCAGGTTCTCACACCCTAGGGCTCCTGTTGTCCCTTAATGCAGTCTCTGGAGGCGAGCAGTTCCCATGGCATAGGCTGCCCCCTTAAGGATCTGCCTGCAGAAGCAGAGGCACTATTTTCCAGGCAACTCCCCATAAGCATGAGGGCAGGGAGTAACAAAAGGGAAGCTCCAGGGAGTGGGCAAAGCTAGGCTTCGAAAAGGCAAACAGTATAATCTACACCCCACCCCCACCACCTCTCTGGGGTCTTGGCCCATCCAGGAACTCGCTGAAAGCTACCTCCTTGCCTGCAGGTAGAAAACGTTCTCATTCATGTACACCCAAGGGGTCCCTCTCGAAGGGGTTGTGGTAGATGTGGTGTGCGCTTGGATTTGCACCAAGCTCAAAGCCAAACCTCTCTATCTGATGGTAAGGACCTTTCGGGGGAATAGGGCACACCTAGCTGAGGTGAAAGGAAGGTGTGAAGAGTGCAACCATGTAGAGCCACTCATACCACAAGCAAGCAGAGTGAGGAGGCTGCCAAACCAGCCCGGGAGCAGGGAGATGGGAAAGAACCCACTGGGAGGAAGCATCTTCCTGGGGTGGTCCAGGGCAGCAAAGGGGTGAATCCCATTATACCCCTGTACACTTCACATTGCTTGGGGTTCAGTCAGACTTTCAGCAAGGGCCTTAGCCATCAGAGCATGTCAGTGAGGCACACAGGACTAGAAGGACATGTGAAACCATGAAGAGATAGATGCTGAGGAGCAAAGTGGGAGAGCCAGGAATGGAAGGGCGTGACCCTGCTCCTTCCTGCATCACACTGAGGTTTCCATGGAAGATCTCATTTGGAAAGGACTTGTGGCTAAAATAACATTTAGTGCCACGGCCCTCCTTGCATCTTGTCTCTTCGGTGCTCAGCCCTGGCAGTGGGCAGGAAGCTCCTTCTCTTCTTACCCTAGGGTTCAAAGCTTCTTGGTTTGAGCATTTCCTTTCCCATTTAGCCCAAACGATAAGAGTAAATAAATACACATGTGTGCACAGGCACACACAGATACGTGCAGGCATGTAGACAACACACAGGCTGGCACGCAAGCCAGCAGCAACATCGAGTCAGGGCCTGCCTGATGGAGTTTGGAAAAAGCAAGGTACCTCTGTGAAAAGCAGAGGCTGGGAAGATGGCTGAGTGGGTGAAAGCACTCACTGCCAAGCCCAGAGACCAGGGTTCTAGTCCCAGGACTCATGTGATAGGAAAGAACTGACTACCTCAAGTTACCCTCTGACCCCCACACCCCATATAACTGCAATTTTTTAATTAAAAATAAAACATGACCACCCGCTACTGCTGCATTCTGCATTATCCCTGGGACCCCTGTGTCCACACCTGATCTACCTGTGTTTTCTAATTCTGGAATTGTGCCGTATAAAATGAATAATCATTTCTCCAAGACTGGAGCAAGGTTCAGAATCAGGGCTACTCCTCAATACAAGGATGGATTATCAAAGTGGATAAATACTAATACCTGCCTGTGAACAGCTGAGACCCACTGGGGCAGGGTAGTGGGGTATGTGAGGAGGACCAGATGGGATCAGGGATTGGGCTGGGGTAGTTTAGACTGCAGATAGCAGACAGTCTGGGCAATGAGAAGCAGGGAGAGGCCCAGGGGTCATCAAAACATGACCTCCCCCTGGATCCCTTCATGGCCATGATGTGGCTTTTGCCTTGACTAGATCTGCTGCCCTGGTCTGATGGCAGTAGGTCCCTTGTGGTAGGCAGGGGGAGGAGACCCGGTCCTCTCCACCTGTTGCTGCCTTGTCCCAGTGCAATGTGAACCTGCTCTAAGAAGCAGGGTGTGGGATTGGTGTCATAAACATGAAGGGCCAGGGTCACCCTGGAGGAAGATACTTTTTCCCCGGCTTCTAGGATGCAGTTGGGCACAGCTCCTTTGTCGACCCAGCTAGTTTTAGAATTTCATCCTTGGCTAGCTGTGTCAGGGTCATGGTTAAGGCACATGCCTTACCCAGTGGTACCCTCAGTGGACTAGAGGGATGGGTGGAAGCACTGTACATACACAACCTAGCAGTTTTCCTCTCTGGGCCCAGGAGCACTATCCACCAAGCACCTTGTGTGCACACTGCCACAGTCCCTTGTCATTCCTACCCCACCTTGTCCCTCTACCCAGCAAGTGTCTAATCAGTGGACACTTACACTCGAATATCTCACTACACTCTGTGTACTGGCTACAATGTGACGAGCTGAGGTGGGCACAGGCAACTATGCAATAGCCACCATGGCCAGCCCGCCACCCAGCACTGAACTCAGCAGACTCACTTGAAATTCTCAGGGTATTCGGCGATGGCCATATTGATGACATCCAAGGCATGCTGGTTATGCTTCTGGGCCGAGAAAAGCAGTGCTAGCAAGTGTAGGACATTGGCATCGTCCCTGCACACCTTCAGGGCCTCCTGAAGATGCTCCATGGCGCTGGAGATCTGCCGAGAGAGACCACCAGCTTAGGGACCATACGTCTCCACCCCACCCCCTCAGATTCCAGCCATGGCTCAGCTCCACTCACGTGAGGCTGAGGCAGTGGAAGCAAGGGCACTCATAAAGCATTTCCTGTCAGACAGCCTGGCAAGCGATTCGGGTAGACAAAGGTAAGCAATCTGAATTGGGGGAGCTGGGAGCCTCGGGGATAGACTGCCTGCCACATGCGGGAGCCCCTTCCCAGAGCTTTGCTAACAGGGCTCGGAGTCCCACTCAAGGGGAAGGTAAGGAGAAGAGGGTGCTCTAGGAAGGAGGTACAACGTGACCAAAGGCAGGAAGGCAGCAGGGATGACACAGACAAGAGGGAGTGTCCTCTAAGGCGGCCAGTGTGCAGGCTAGCTAGAGGCATGGCTTCTGTGCCATACATTTTTTAACTCAGTAATTATTAAAGGTGGCTCTACAGTGAGATTAGATAGGGAGGATGAAGCCAATTCACACAGGACCAAGAAGAAAGCCACTTGTAAAAATCTGAGAAGCCACTGCATGTGGATCTAGGGTGAAACACAGCCTTTCCCTTGGGTGTGGCAGACCTGCTGCCATCTAGAGCCTGTGTTTAGGGCTCAGGTTTGCCTCCTTCCTGGTGCTGAGTGGAGGAGGGCAGGCTCCCACCGCACTGAGAGTCCTGCAGACTGGCGAGGAAGATGACACACCCCTGGTCCTGCTGTCTTACCAAACCCCTGCTTCCAGCTGGGCCTGGGAAAAATCTGATGTCTTCTGTTGAAGAAGTTGTATGGGGTATGGCACGGCTCAGGGTGGATCAATAGATTGTCCTGAACCCTGCTCTCCTCACCCTCGATTCTACCTGAGTCCTTCCTCCCAGGCCCTGCTGCACCACAGAGGTCAGTAGTTCTCTCCGAACTCTCCCCGCATGGCCTGGCCTGGCCTGGCCTGCGAATGTTTGGCAGAGTCTGGGGAGTTTTCACAAGTATGGAAGAGTGAAAGAAATTCCAGTTGTCACCAACGGAAACACGCTCCTTCAGAGGAGGCTGGGTTGTCGTGGCATTTGCGGCGACTCCTTAACTATCCAAAGTGACCCGCCAGGTGGCCCTGCATCCCCTTCACTGCCGCCTCCTTTTCCAGCAAAGGCATGCAAGACAGTCATCTCCTGTTCCCAGCCACCTGCCACCTGAATCAAAATAGCATGTTCTCTGGGGGCCTAGTGGGATGCTAGAGAAAAAGCATCACCTTATTTGTGAATTTGAAAGATCTGTGTCTCTTGTCCCTGGGAGCCCCTGCCTCTCAGAATTCTATGTCCTACAGGTCAGGCACATGGCTTACCTGAGATGGATTAAACTGGCAGGGTCCGTACAGTTGGACAGGCTCCGATACCTTTTAACCCTTGTCTGTTCAAACATCCCCATCCTGAGAGGCTGGCGTCTCTACACTGGTTAGCACAAGCTAAGCCCACACGGCCTGCTAATGCTACACTGGGTGAGCAAGGGGCTCAGTGTAGGCTGGCGGTTCTCGACCTACCTAACCCTGGGACCCTTTAATACAGTTCCTCACGCTGTGGTGAACCCATCACCCCCACCATAAAATTATTTTTGTTGCTACTTCATAACTGTAACTTTGCTAGCTTTATGAATCATAATGTTAAATGTCTCATATTCAGGATATCCAATATGTGACTCCTTTTGGGGGTTGTGACCCACAGATTGAAAACCATTGATGTAGGCCAACTCTCCTTAAGCAGCAGGTAGATAGTGCAATACCGTAATGTCTGGCCCATCATCTCTGTCCTCAGATTGTCCTCATTACAACTCAGCTCAGTTACCCAGAATGCATGAGGCTGCTTCCTCCTGCTGCCTCAGGAAGTGACATCCTCATCGCCAAGGCCCTGCTTCTGTGGATACGCTCATTAGTTCCCTTGCCTTCCCCTCAGTCACCCACCCCTGGTGTATGTGGAGGCTGTGACTACGTAATTAACCAGAGAGAGGGCTGGGAGATGCAGCACCAGGCAGGAGAGGGGAGGGTTAAGGATGATGGCCTCTTTGGACAACATGCTAGCTACAAGTCCAGTACAGACCAGGTTCTTCTGTCAGTCTTCATGCACACCACAGTCCCCAACTGGACACCAATGGAGAAACACCCTTCCTACTCACAGAGCCAAAAGTTTTCACTCCTGAGTGTGTATACCCCAGCTCTTCCACTGCTCTGCTGGTACCTAGGGCAAGGCAGAAACACCTCTCTGATCTGCATTTGCTCTGTAGTAGGGTGCCGTCGGGCTCCTGTGGTTGCTCCAAGGCTTAGGTACGAAGCACATCCTGCAGCGCTCCGGCTCAGAGGACTTCCCAAAGCCTGCGTTCCCCACTAAGCTTCTCAAGACCCTGAAACAAAAGCACTGTAGGACTATTCCTCCTAGTCCAAGGGCATGCGCTCAAGGCAGCTTCATTCGTCTGGCAACTCTGTCCATATCAGGGCTCTTTGATCAGGTTTATTTACTTATTAGTACAGTGCCAGAGACTAAGCCCAGGGCTTTTCCTATGCTGCGTATATGCTCTATCACTGCATCTGTAAGAGCCTTGCTCCTTAGCAGACTTAAGACACTAGCCTCTTACGTGCTCTATGGCACTTTGCATTCCTAGTGTGCCAGACCCTTCACACAGTCTCCTTCTGGCCACTAAGTACCAGGCAGGCCCAGAATCATGCATAGGTCAAGGAGAGTATGAAGAAGCAGCGAAGATCAGTGTGGCTACCTCCCTAGCATATAAGACTCTCCAGGGCTGGTCCTCACCAGAGCACCCCATTAATCTGGAAGGGGCATCCAGACCCCTATGCAGCGCAGGGCAGCCAGCATTCTCTAGGCAGAAAGAGCCAGAAGGAAGGGTCACAGAGACCCAAATAGGTGAGAATACTAGCTTCGGAGTCCACTCAAGGCCCTCAGCCTTCAGGGACTTTCTAGACATGGTTTCCCCAAGAAAACTGAGCACCGGACTCCACGAGCCTAACAAGCATTGTTGTGGAAGATGGGCACTATTCACCAAAGACGGGTGGATAATTAAAGAGATTTAAAAAAAAAAAAAATCCATCACGGAAGGGTTATCGTGAACATAATCGGCAAGGAAAGCACCAGGTTCCTTTTCAGAGGGGCTAAGAATAGAGCGGTCTCGGGGAACTTTCCGTCTGTTCCCAGAAGCTGACTGATGTTCCTAGAGGAGAGGCGTACAGTGAGCAGGGCCTAGCCCAGGGCCTGGGAGTCAGGCTTGTGGATACATGGTGGAGTGATGAATGAGTCCCAGAGGAGGTGGTGTGAGAGGAAGGGAGAAGAGGAGCAGCAAGCAGGAGGAATGACAGCAGGGCCACCGCGTAGGACACAGCTGGGGTAGGAGGGCTCGGATAGAGATGGAGGACTCACACCGACAAGTAGGCCTGGACAAGCACTGCTAAGAGTCTAGGTGTCAGGCGAGAAGGAAGGGCTTTCAGTAGTGGGGGCTGCCATGCAGTGAGAAGTCCAGAGCATATGGGCTCCGGGGGAAGCTGAGGAGGGCAGAAGACAGGATCCCGCTGCTCCTGGGTCAGGGGAAACCGCTAGTAGAGCTGCTCGGAGGTCAGGTGTGATAATGAGACCAGCTTCCCGGCAGGGATCCAGGTACCCACGGCCCGATCTCCAAATGGGCCAGGAGCCTCTTAGCTGGACAGGGTGAACTTTGGGCCAAAGCGTGTAATGAGGGGGTCATGCTGTCCCTGAGTGGGATGTTTAAGAGGGAGATGAAGCAGTGCCCACTCACCACAGGGCTAACCTCACTTGTCCATGCATGGACTTCACTTGTCCATGTGGACTTCTTTTCTCTCTTTTGCTTAGCGTCCGTCTTGAGACAATGTCTTCTAGCATATCCCAAGCTGACCTAGGACTCACTTTGTAGCCTAGGCTGGCCTTAAATTCAAGAATTCTGCCTTAACCTTCTAAGTGTGGGGACTATGGGTGTGCACCACCACACCTGGCTGTAGACAGGGCCTGTGAGGCAGCTTCCAGTTTAGATAGTTTCCCAGAGGCAGGAGAGGAGAGCTGTCCTGAGATCCCAGGCCCCTTCCAGTCCCCACCCAAGCAGTCAGGGTGTATCAGAGTCAGCTTATACTGGGTCAAGACTGAGGGCTGCAGGGTGCATGAGATCGAAAAGACTCTGACAGGCATGATTTAGGGGAGCACTGACCTCGCAGATCACGGTGGGGGAAAAGTGGTTCTACTTGGAGAGCTGTAGGTGATGGTGGCAGTGATGGTCTTGGTAGGGCAAAGGAGGCTACCCTACTAAATCCCCCAAGGCCAGGAGCCTGAGTGATGTCTTCGAGGTCAGAAAAAAATCTTGGGGGGTCACACAGAAGCCCATCCAGAAATAGCCCCGTGTGCCAATCACACTTTCCCCAAGTTGGGGGGCCGGCAGAACACAAGCAGAAGATGCAGTGGTCACTGACCCATGTCAAATGAGACTGCAAAATCCTAAGGGAAGTCAGGGCATTGAATAGCTGTTTTTGTGTGCCCATCATAGGTGGGCTGAGGTATAACCACATTGACCGAATACTCGCTAGACCCCTCACACACAGATGCTCCCATGGACAACAAGGGCACTGAGGGACAGACAGTCACACGGAGGAGGCCAGATCTGAGGATTAGGAACTGTGACAACACACCTGTCGGACGAGGGCAAGCTGCAGAGAGACATAGAGGATAATCTGGGGGTCATCAGGTGCCAGCTCTTGGGCTCTGCAGGGGAGAAGGAGCCAAGAGTCAGTTACTGTCTGTAGAGCAGCAATACCAGCCTCGTGCTAGGTGCTGTGGGCAATACGGTGGGAGATTGTGCCAGCCCCTCTCAGGTGGTAGATGATGGCTCAGACAGGTCCACGGGCATGTCATGGTAGAGGACAGTGGCTCAAGGAGGGCTGGCACAAGCTAAGGTAGAGCATCTCCAAGGTGACAGACCTCAAAGGAAGGGTAGAACAGGGGTGGGGGAAGATAGCATCACACCTGTGAACGGCAGCCTGGCCATCTGTCTGCGGACATCAGTTAGCCTGACTATGGCTCTCCGACTCAAGGGCACTCACACTGCCCTGAGGAGGATGCAGGGCCTCTGAACTGCCAATCTGAACAAGCAGCCTCAGGAACGCAACACTGGTGGGAAGAGGTGAAGCCCCAGGTTGGGGAACAACCTGATCCAAAGGGAGGCTGGCAGGTCACATGCTCCAGTAGTACACGAAATCCTAGGTCCTCCCCAGTAACATCCCTCTGTCACTTCAGTGTGGGGGGTGAGTGCTTAGTGGGTTAGGCCAGGGTAGGGAGGCTCATGTGGGCTGGGTCCCAGCAAGGCAAGGTCTGAGGAAGGAGCTACACTACCTTCTTCCATCCCTGACTCTAGGAAATCTCTGTGAGGCTGTGGGTGGGAAGTTCCTGGAGCTCTGAGGTGGTCAGGCTGGAGGATAATGACATCACTCTGGAGGCCCTGTTACCTGCAGGACACCACATAGCAGTGGTTCTCAACCTTTTTGAGGCTGCGATTCTTTACCACAGTTCCTCATACTGTGCTGACCCCAGATATAAAAGATTTCATTGCTACTTCATAACTGCAATTTTGCTACTGTTATGAATTGTAATGTAAATATATGGTATGTGACTCCCCCAGAGGGTCATGACCCACAAGTTGAGAACCACTGTTTTTCCTGTTTTCTGTCCATTGTCATAGTACCAGTGGGATCCTAAGAGGCCCAGGAGCAAGGGGTGGGCTTGGCATCTGTAGTGGCCCAGCTCTGAGCTGACCACGGGGCTTCCCAGTGCCTAGCACTGAAGGCATGATTACCTGACACAACAACCCACTCCTGCCTGCTGGGTAACCATCTGGCAATGTGGCTTCCTTATCTGAGAAAGGAAAGACAGAAACAGCCTCTTCCGAGGGTGGAACTTCACTGTGGGACCCTCCATGTTATCACTTTGCGCGTGAAAAAGAAAAGATTAGGAATCCCCTCACCGCTCAAGCGTCTGCAGTGCCTTGCGGTGCAATTCATCTTGCTTGTATTTCAGGGTGGCTGCAGGAGACACAATGGGTTGGGGGTCACTAAAGAAGGGCAAACCTCTCTCTGGCCCATCCCCAGGGCATAGGGACTTAGTGCAAAGGAGCCTATCAGGGTCCTGTTTGCAAACCTCAAGGTTCAGTAACGGGGCTCAAGGCACAAAAGATGGCTGTAACAGTGGACTATAACTAAGGGACTGGTGGCCACCTCATTAGCCCAAGCAAGGATGACAGTGCCTGAAGATCCCATGACTTTGGGTGTGAAGGGCAAAAGACAACAGGTACCAGACTGTCCTATTATGGCTTCAAGGGTCCCTTGAGCCTACACATAGCTGCAGGCACTAGGGGACATGGGCAAAGTCTGGGTGGAGGACATAGCTCCCTCCCTTCCAGACTTCAAGGACACAAAAGTAGGTGTCTGCCTGTTCAATGGGGGAGGCACTGGGCTGAACCAGAAGGGCTGGGAACAAAACACGGGTCCCAGGGCAGGAAGGGTAAGGACCACTCATCCTGTAGTACTTGGTACTGTGTCATGTGTGGGGGGTTTCAAGGCCCGCAGAGGATTGCTGCAGAGCTGAGGGTAAAAGCGGGCCTGTGAGAAGTGGAAGGAAGCTGCTGCGATGGGGTGGAGGGTTGATGGTACTGCAGATAGCAGGGAGCGTCACAAAGGGAAAGTGTGGGCTCAGCAGGACCTACATAGTGACAGACCTGGCCCATGAGGAGGAATGGCGGGTAGGTGGGTGTCTAAGCAAGAGTGGAAACTCTTGGGACTGAGGGACGTGTGTGTGTATGTGTGTGTGTGTGTGCGCACGCGTGCGTGCGTGCGTGCCCGCACATGCATGTGTGGTGGGTATGCATATGCATACACACATTCCTGTCTGTGGGGAGCAGCAAGGAGAGATCACTAGTGGAATGAGACACCTTGTAGGCAGCTGGGAATCCTAAGGCATGGTCTACAGGCAGATTCTGCTGGGGCCAGCACTCACCGTCAGTGGCCTGCAGGCTGTAGGTGAGACCCAGGGCCAGGTAGCCTTTAGGCAGGAACTCCCCTGCTTCCTCCCCAAGGCTGATCACCACCGTGGCAAAGTGTTCTGCCTCTTCCAGCTGCAAAGAGGAAAGGTAGTGGTCACTGGGGTGGGCTTCACTGTCCTGAGCAGGAAAGGGAACAGTCACCACCCTGGGACGGTGTCAGCCCCAACCATAAACAGAACAATTCCTTACACTGGAACTGTAGGCCACGTGACAAATACTGAGCACTAGAGCCAGCTGTTTGTTCTACTAGAAAGTGCCTCCCTGGACCTATACCCCCTCCAAGGAGCCAGCGTTCAAGGTCACAGGTGCCAGCTCTTCCAGAGAGACAAAGAGACAGAGACTCTCTGCTTGCTCCCAACACATGAACTCAAAACAGACCAGTATGTGCAGCTCCCTCCTCACATGGTCTCTGTAGGCAGGGCCTGCTCAGCAGACAGAGGGGAGCCAGGGCTGGCTGGGCCTTGAGAACATGTGCCTTGTTGAACATGGCCAACCTTGCAGAGTAGGCAGGCCGCCACACAGGCTAGTCGCTCCCTCCCTGAGCAGGAAGCCAGTTAACTTGAACATTCAGGGGAAAAAGGCCTTGGGCTGTTTTTGTCCTGGGAGCAGGGGGACTGTTCCAGTTGGCAAAGGCCCAACTGGCACGGGCCATCTGGGCACACATCATCACATACAACACGGGATGCAAGGAGAAGGTTTACACGAGGGGGAGTTTTTGGATACTTTGTGGGCTACATAGCAGTGAGGTTGGCTGGGGTGTAGGGCTTGGGCCAAGCCTGTGTCCATTCTCAGGGCTCCAGCAACTCTTCCCTACATGCCTGACCTGCTAGGTGTAAAGCATATGAATGCTTTGAATGAATGCTATGAATCATCCAGGACTCTTCTTTCAACATCTCCCTCCCACTCACACACCACTTCCACCCCACCAGACAGACAGACAGACAACCATGGCCCAAGCTCGGGTTAAACCCCTCCAGCGAGAGAATTACATAGGCAGTCCAGTAGAGGCAAGAGTCACTCATGTTGGCTTCCGGCAGTGTCCAACCCTACTCATATCCCCACTTAAGCTGGTTTTCCCAGGAGGAGAAGGGTAGCTCTGACCATAGCCACAGCCAAGGAGGCTGCACAGGCAAAGTCTCTCTCCCTGGAGTGTTGTGTTACTGCCTGAGATAGAGGCCATGGAGCAGTGAATGGGCTGAGGCCCCAGTTTGGACACAGCTATGATGAGCCATGTGCAACAAAACAAAACAAACAACTACCCCCACCCCCACATACACACCTGAAGGAGCAGAGCACACACTGTGCAAAGACTAAGACTCCTCAATGTACCACGTCCCCCACAAGGCCAAACACTATTTTGAGTTCTGTTGCCACCCACAAAGCAGCCCTTCTGCATGTGGACTCAGTGCAGTAATTATAAAGGAGAAATAGTATTAATTCCGAGTAAGTTAATGCACAATACAATAATTACACATGGTATTAATAGACATGGGTGCTTTAGCTAGCAAATAGGGAGAACGTTATCATGGCAACAACAACAACAAAGAAAACTAAATAAAAGCAAAACATCGTACTAGGCACACTGTCTCTTCCTTCGACTAAAGCAGGTGTGGTGATCTGAAAGCCTCAGAATTTGGCTCTGAAGGGCTAGAACCCCAACCAGGCCCTGAGCCAAGCCAGCCCCTGACTCCTAAGTTAGCTCTCTTCAGAGAGGCAGGGCAATGTGGTGATGAGGACAAAGCTCAGCACATGGCGTGGGCTCCATTCCTTTGGGGTTATCTTGCGGGCCTCAGTGCCTTCTCCTGTAAAATGGGGACAACAGTGTCACCCTCAGGGAGCTGCTGCGGGATGGATGTGATGTGAATGCTTGGTTTGTGCTTGACTAATTGTCAGAGATGAATAGCAGTGACCATATGACTCGATTACTACGCATATATGTGTGTATATGTCCATATTAATCACACATCATTGCCCTGGAAAATTTGCAAGTGCAACAAAGGACCTTTGGAATCCAAAAAGAGGATGCCAGTACTGCCTGCCTTTTGTCTCTGGGCCTGGCTGTTCATCACAGAAAAGCCGAGATTACACAGGACAAGTGGGTACCCGGCAAATCTTCCCATCTGAGGTTGAGATAAGCAACCAAAGACTGCCTACTATACACTCACCTCCTGCATAGGTGATAATAAATCAGGATATTTCCCACCTCATTCTCTTATGATCTATTCTTTTTCTATTCCACAACCCACTGAATCCTTGACCCATAATCTAAAAATGCAGTTTCAATCTGATGGTTCTCAGCCACCCAACACTATTTCTAACAAGTCCCCTTGCCAGTCTCCTCCCCCTGGGAACCTTAGGACTAGACTCTAGACACTTCCTCCCGTAGCCTCCTGGAGACTGTAGTCTCTGCCACCAGCTCAGATTATGGCATGAGGCCCTTTCTCATCAAAACACATCTAGGTGATGGATTCCCAGTATTGTCTCCTCCCTGACCCCACTATGATACTGTCTCTAACAGAGCAGCTGGGTGATCTTGCCATCTAGGGAATGTCCTCCCTGCTCTGTTTCTGAACAGCCTGAGACCTGACAGCCATGTCATAGGAACATGGCAGGTCACGGGTCACAGGGAGTTTGTGTGACATCCCCACCCCTACAGTTGGCCATTCAGCCAGTGGTGGAGCTATGACCCCAGTCCAGGCAGGTCTGAGAGTGCCATGGCTGGCCTCTGCACTTTCTCCTCCCTCTGACACTTGGGAAGAATGATGCACCACACAGCGTAACCCCCTTCGGTGGTTTGCTTTTGCTCTTCGTAAGTAAGGAAACACTCTGTGCCTTCCCAAGTTCCTTGGTCTCTGAGGCTTTCCTAATTTGGTCCTTGCACAGCGGACTCGGCTGAGCTGGAGCACTTGCTAGGGCTCAGGGCTGCCTTCCATCTCTGGGCAGATTCGTACACCTGCACTGAGCAGAGGGTCCTGCCTCAGGTTTTCCACCTGAGCTGAGCTCCCAGCAGCTGTCCTCTGTTTAAAGACCTCCAGTTTCTCCTGGGTCCCTTCCTGTAGACCCCAGAGCTACTTTGTGGAAAATCTGCTTCTTTGTTTCAGAGAGTAATAGGCACTTTCTTGCTTCTGCAAGATGGAGGCAAAGAGCCGGTGTTCTTCCCTGCTTTGTGAACAATCCATCTTCCTGGATTTGAAAAGTGAAAGCAAAGGCATCTCCTTCCTAAGTGCTTACGGGGTACTATGAAAAATAATGGCACCCATTTGTCACATACCTGACTTACAAAGTGCCATGCAGACACACCACCTCCTAAGGCTCACAGCTATCCTATTAGCGGGCACATCTCTTCCCAGATAATAGACAGGGAAACTGAGGCACAGAGAGAGTGAACCACTCCCTCAAAGTCATACACACTAGTGAGTAAAGCAGACTAAAGGAACTGAACCCTATCTATTCTCCACAGCCTATGCGTTTTCCAGTACCCATGCTGCTCCCCCAGGAGTAACGGTAACCCTGAGTAACTCTAAGCCTAACCCTGAGTAACCCTAAGCCTAACCTTGCACAACGAGCTCACCTATGTCTGATTTTACCTCTTCTGTTGTCTGTGTGGCACACAATATACAAGCGTGCCCTGTCCTCTACGCCTCCTGAAGGGGTTCCAACTTTTTAAATTAAATCAGTTTTAAATAACTGTATTTGGAGGGATCCAAGAAAATATCTACATCTTCTTTTCTATCTGCTTCCCAAATTTGCCTTTTGGCCAGAGCATAAGGCAAAGGAAGTGGAGAAGGTACTTAATTGGAAACAAAGCCCACACTAGACAAAGTTCACAATGAAGGACAGAGTTCCTGGAAGGCAGGGGCATAAGCTCTTTCCAGCATCACCCACAGGCCTGAGGAAGACATAGCTCTGCCCTGAAAAGCACAGAGGGTCATACCACAGTTCAATCAATGTCCAAGGTGAGTACAAACCAGACTTTAAGAGGTCCAAGGCGCATGCCTTTAATCCCAGCACTGGGGAGGCAGAGGCAGGCGGATCTCTGTGAGTTCGAGGCCAACCTGGTTTACAGAGCGAGTGTTAGGACAGGCTCCAAAGCCACACAGAGAAACCCTGTCTTGAAAAAACAAAACAAAACAAAGAAAAAGGAAGATGACTCAGCAGCAGTTAAGAGCACTGGCCACTCTTCTAAAGGGTTTTGGTTAGACTCCAGGGGCCTACATGGTGGCTCATAACCCTGTTAACTCCAGTCCCACAAGATCTGACACCCCCTTCTAGCTTTTATGGGCCTTACACACACATACATGCAAGGAGAACACTTAGTCACTTAAAATAGAAACGAAGAAAAACTAATTTTAGGGAAAGAAGAGAGGGGAGTGGGGAGGGGATCTAAGTCTCTAGAAGCTCGCCCTCCTCCCTGCTCCCACCCTGTCTTAATTCCTCACGGAACTCGGACCAGGCTGACACTCAGACTAGCCTCAGCCCCTGGTAACTGCCCGCCTTTCTCCCCTTTCCTGATGACAAGTCTGCATGCTTCAGCTTCCTTTTGGGCTTTTCTATTTATGTTGTCATTGATTACTTTGCTCCTAACTCATCTGATTTCAATTTGGACTGATTTGATCCTAATTTTATTACCATGTAATCTGAATGCACATAATCACTGTAATTATGCTGCAGAGGGAAACGGCTCCTCCACGGTGGGAAGACCTAAATTTAGGGCTTCCTGGCAAGGGTGCCATTGGCTGGGTGGACTCACAGCTCCTTGGAGCTGGCAGCTCGGGGGAGCACAGATGCCCTCCCCAGCCCTGCTCTCAGAAACATGGGTATTTTGGGCTTCAACTAAGGAAGGAATGAGCCCAAGGTTTCCTCTCCAGGGTCCTGGAATAAGAAGGAGTCTGAGCTAGGGGTTGGGTAACAGCCCTGGCATCTCCAGCTCCCAGCACTCTTTGCTGCAGCCTGCAGCTGCATGCCACCTACAACAGAGTGGGTGCTTGCTTTGGATCTAGAATGCAGAGGAAGGAATGGGGGCTCCTTAGCCTGTTGGAGAGGATAACGTGGGGTACAAGGTGACAAGTGAGATGGATGAGGAACTCATTCTGTGTCACTCAGAGCATAGAAAACGGACTCCCCCTGACATTGGGAAGCTGACAGGGACCAAAGCAAGCAAAGATTATCTGCATATTAGAGATAATATTAGTGTAGTACTCCCTAGGATCCAGTATCCTGGGTCTGAGCTCATCAAACACCAGGGGCTCAGGGCTCAGGGCTCCAGGCTAGGTTTTCTCACTGTTTAAGCTACTGATTTTCTGGGAGTACCTTCACTAATCCCCAGTAAAGGCCATCAGCTGAGAAGAAGTACCCTTTGAGCTAGAGTCTCCTAAGAGCCACCTCAGTAGACAACGAAGAGCAGACAGCAGGACCCAGAAAGAAGCCTAGGGAAGCCATTAGATAAAGCATGAGGGGAACCTTGGCGGATTCCAAGGCAGGTGAGAGTAACCGAGGCAGAGCCACCAATATGCTGGGCAGATAGTGTTTAGTGAGAAGGTTTATTAGAAAGGGAAAGGGAGAGGAAGGAAAGAGAAAAGAGGTAAACAGACACAGAGACAGGGAGGACAGAAGAGAAGAGGGAGACAGGAAAAGTCCTGTCTGCCCCGGAACAGCAGGAAAGAGAACACAAGTGCTTTCTTTTAAAGGGTCCTTTGCACTTTTGAGCAGACTAGTACTCATGGAACCCTGGGCTGACCAGGGCACTGCCTGAGTGCATTCTGCCAGGTGACAGGGGCAGGGCAGCGTAATGCCTGAGTCCTCACAGGTGCAATAAGAACAAAGAAGGGACTGCAAGGAGGCCATCTTTGTTCTGTCTCAGGCGAGGGCGGAGTTTGACCCCTCCGCTTCTCTATTGATATGAAGTCATCTGAAGCCTCTTTTCTGATAGGCCAGTCTAGGTAACTGAGGTCGCCTACCACCTCTACCCCTGCTATTTTCCATCTGTCGGAGTCTCTGGAGACCATAATGCAAAGGGCTATACCAAGATCAAGGTTGGTGGGTCTTCAGGAACTCTCCTCGAGTCCTTACGCAAGGTGGTGCCCTTTCTTCTGCTGCACACACCCTCACCTGGTTCCCACTTGCTGGAGTCCCCTGTCCCCCCTCCCCCAGGAGGTTACTGAATCTGAGCCATGCTTGCCCTACCCCCACAGGTCACTCACCCAGTGCAAGGACCCAATGCAGACCTTGGCAGCCATCAGGGGCACAGTGGGGTCCGAGGGCTGCAACTTCATGCACTCACGAAGCAGCGACACAGCGTAGGCTGACTGCAAAAGCAAGGGTAGGGGACACAATCACTGGCCACCTTAGGTCCCCATTCTCTGGGGTGTCCTCTGCTCCCAACAGTGCTCGCTCTGTACCCCTTTCCTTGAAAGATCCAGGAAGGGAGCCCAGCGGGAGGACGCCAGTTGACAGTCCCTGGCCGCAAGCCCTCCTCTGAGTTTTGTTTCCCACCTTTGAAGAATGAGATCATGAACCTCACCCTCTGGAGATCTGACAACAACTAACATCATGACAAACAGAAGCTTTCCAAAAAGAATGCAAATCAGAACCATAGAGGTTTGAGAAACAGACAGGGAAATCTCTAAACCTGTACTTGGAGCTGGTGACAGGACCAGACAGATGTGCAAAGGTTGGGAAGGTGAAGAGATGGGAGGGCCAGAGAGAACCTCCAGACAGGAAGCTGAGGACCCACAGGGCTCCAGGACTCAACCAGGATCCACTGAGGATAGGCGGGTAAGGGCCAGAAGGGAAGGGCAGGTGTGTCACCCATACCAAGAGCAAAGACAGATAATAGTGGAGATTTTATCACGTACCAGGCATTTTCTTTCTAAGTCGGGGGCTGCCAAAAGAACCTGCAGGCTGAATCTAGCCCGCTGCTTGTTTTTGTAAATAAGGTCTAATTGGAACTCGGTCAGGCCCATTCGTTTACGTCCTATCTGTGCTGCTTTGTGATGCCATGCTGGTGGAATGGCCGAGAAGCTGGCTATTAATAGTTGGTGGAAACCAACCACTACCCACCCCTTACAGAAAGTCTGCTAACTCCTCTGTGAGAGTGTTGGATTTTCACAACATCCCTACCAGACAGGCAGCTTTACAGCAGAGAGCTGGACAGGCAGTTTGTTCAGAGCCACAGAGCCTGAGAGTGACCAAGCAAGGGTTTGAACACAGCCTGGGCCTAACTCTTAACCACTCCCCTGTGTGGCCTCTGTGGTGATGACCTTTGCCAGAGGAAGCTGGTTTCCTGGAGCGGTAGGTGTGTGTGTGTGTGTGTGTGTGTGTGTGTGTGTGTGTGTGTGTGTGTGTGTGTGTGTGTGTGTGTGTGTGTGTGTGTGTGTGTGTGTGTGTGTGTGTGTGTGTGTGTGTGTGTGTGTGTGTGTGTGTGTGTGTGTGTGTGTGTGTGTGTGTGTGTGTGGTGTGTTCAGGACAATTACCATGTCCTGGGTCCCACTGTGGACTAAGCTCCTCACTCTAATTTAGCCTCCTTCTTCCCTAGGAACTCTAGGGGTGCCAGGAAGGAAAAGAGGGTTCTGGCAGGCTCATCTGCCTGCAGTAGGATATGACTGGAATGTGCGTGTCCCCATCCCCCACCTTACCTCTCGGTTCCCCACCATTTAGGGAAGAACTTTCTTCCACCCAGGGTTACAGATTTCCCTGGGCTCTGAGCTATAGTTTGCATAAACTTGAGTGTGTTCTCCAAGACTCCATGTGCTGGCCCTTGAACCTCAGAGTGGTTAGCCCTGACTAGCAGAGCCATGATGGGATGGGGTCTAGTGGGGTCTGGTTAGGTCACTGTGCGTGCCCTAAAAGGACTGGGCTTCTTCATAATTAGGTCTTGCAAGGAATGGGTATAAAATGAGCACGGCTTGCTCTGTCTGTCTTCCTGTCTTGCTACAGTTTCTCCCACTTGCCCACCCTCCTGCCATGTCATCTGCCTTGAGGTCCTCACCAGAACGAAGCTAGTGTTGACAACCTGCCCTCCAAAACCCTAAGGCAAAGCAGCTTCTTTTCATTATAAATGCTTTCACCTGGGCTGTTTTATTATAGTTATCAGAAAACAGACCAATTGTAGGTGGTTTCATCCCAGCCTGCACTGGGGTGGGGCAGTGGCATTAGACGTAACCTCCAAGGAGGCCACAGAAAGGAGGAGGGCAGCAGTGAGGGCAAGCACAAGAAAGGGCCAGAAATGGCAGGCCTGCTGGGAGTGCCCAGTGTGGACTGCAGCAAGGAAGCTGTGTGAGAGCCGCCAGGCCCCACAGAGCCGCTCTCCTGGGAGCGCCACACTAAGTCCCTCACCACTGTCCCTGACCCACACACCCCAGCAAGCCTCAGGTTTCTCCCCGGCTTTCCTTAGCTGCTGACCTTTGCATCCTGAAACCAGGATTCTCTTAGTCCTGACCCTCCACAATCCACCACTCCTTCCCACCCCACCCCTTCCCTCCCCACCCCCCACGCAGACCAAAAAACACTGCTATTTAAGGAGCCAAGCCGTCTGAGGATCCAGCAGTAGGAGCAGCAGGCTTCTTCCCCCCCCCCCTGTCATGCTGGTTACCTAGCAACGCAGCCAATGCAACTGCCGCATGGAGACCAAGAGAGGGAACGACCTAAATCATGCCACAGAACTCATCTGTTATTCCTGTGGGGTGAAACACCAGGCATATTTATATCCACCCAGCCGCACCTTCTGGAAGGTACAGAACCTGGATTCCCACCTTGGGCTCGGCAAAGGCAGGCTCTGGCCACTCCTTTGAGGTCTGCCAGGGCAGTCAGGCAAATGGTTTTGGCATGCAGACTTCCCAGGGGGCAGTTGGAAAAGGCAGAGTGCACTGCATGCCTGGTTGGGCGGAGCCTTGCATCTAAGGCATTCACTGACCACTCCAATTCCCTGTGCCCACCTTGCGAGATCATGAGGGAGCCAGAGCAGGGAATGACTTCCCAGAGACTGGATGCTAAGCTGTCTGGACCTCTTAGGTTCCAGCTTCCCCCCTAAGGAGGAAGAAAACCCCTTAAGTCCCAGACAATTGTGGTGCTTTGTCCTGAGGCCCGATCCTTCAGAAACTCCCTCAAAAAAGCTAACTTCTGTGGATAGATGTGTGTTTTTTATTTTGTTTGCTTGTTTGTTTTAAAGGGGGTAGCTTTTTTTTTTTTTTTTATCCACATAACAGTGCACTACTCCAGGCGTTTCTTCTTTGCTGTTCTAAGGTGTTTCCTGTTTGGGGGAGGCAGGAAGAAGCTACTCAATGCTGTTATGCTGTAGGCAGAGGATCCGCATAAGCACCAGTCACAACCCCCGCCCCCAGCCTACCGTTATCACCTAGGCGATTAACAGGCAGGCAGCTACCTTCAAGTCCCACACACCTATTCCTGCTTCATCTTTCTGGCCCCTCCCCTTGGTTCACACTGCCCCCTCTGCCCGGAGTTCTGCTGTCCTCCCAGCTCTGCTACTATCTGATCCTGCCTGGTGCCAGGGAGTATCTCTGATGCTGCAGGGCCAGGGCCCTGTCTGTATTCTGAGTTTTCCTTGAGATCTAACAACACCCTGCTGGGAAGAGCCAGTAGGTCATGCTGTGACTTCAAGATGCTCTGGGATGCAGTCCATGTGATACAAAAGGGGCTGGAAAGACAGGTACCCAGCAAAGGATGCTCAAAGAGGCTCCCACTGAATTTGGCTGTTCCCCCAATGCCTCTCCCTGCAATCTGACAAGACTACAGCACCTGGTCCTCCTCCCTGTCCCCACCAGGCCCTGGCCTGTCTTACTGCAGAGACCCAGTGCTGCTTGGCACTCCTCCATGCGTGGAGGCAGGCGGCACTGGCACATTGGGAGGGCCCTCCTTGGAGATGGCTGTGGGGCTAGAAATGGAATGTGACACAGATGGGCCGGGGGGCGAGGGATTCCCTCAGCCCCATGAAAGGGCCCTGGGTATTTACAGCTCTTGGAACCATCTGCAAGCTCATGTCACCTTATTTCCTGCATTCACAGCGTCCTCAGCCCCAGCTCCCTCGGCTCCCTTCTCCAGAAAGATTTTCCTTTCATGTCGATGCTTAAAATAGAGACTTACATAAGTGTAGTCATGATGTGAGAGAAAATGAGGGGTGCCGGAGCAGGGGCCGGGCAGATGGAAAGCAAATGCCTACCCGGTGCAGCGTGCTCTGGGCAGTGCTGGTTGGCCTCTTTTGCTGTCCCCACCCAGGTACCTCTAACTCCATCCATCACACAGTCTGCCACCCAGATCCCCATGTGGTTGGTTGCTGCTGTACCCCACCTTAGAGATTCTCCTCCTAGGGAAGTTCCCAACTCACAGGCAGGCCTACTTAGGGCAGGAACAGTGTTCCTCTCTCCTAGAGCCAGCCCAGTAGAATCGATGTGGTAGACTTGTGGTGGACCATTGGAAGAGAGAAGCATCCAAACTCACACCCGCATGTGGACACACCTGCCATTGCTAGCACATATTATATATCCACGCTCATAGAGTCATACCAACAATGGGTCAGTTCCCAGTCAACACAAATCACTCCAGGGAGGGATGAGAGGTTCCCCAGGATCCATAGAAGGCATTTAATCCCACCCACACAGCCCAGGGCCTTACCTTCCCACAAGCTACCATGGAGAGGGCCACTTGGTACCAAAGGTGGAATTCTCCAAATGCATACTTCATGGCTCGTTCTAGGCACTGGGGAGGAAGAACTGGTCAGCAGCGGCCCACTCCCTTGACAGAGTAACCTCTCCCCAGGTTGCTGCCTTCAGAGTGCTGCAGGGCAGCTTTGTTCCAGTGGGAAACACAGGGGTAATCCAGTCCCTGCCACGGCATGCTGTGTGATGCTGTGTGAGGCTGCCCGACAGTTGTCTCTATAGTCCTTGGTTCTTGCCTCCGCAATACGTGAATGATTTCATAGGGCCATTTTGACATGCAAATTTGAAACCAGATTTGTGGAAATGTTTTTCAAGTACACACCAAAATACAAAATAACAACTAGTGTTTATTATGGGACACGTTAGGGCTCTCAGTTTTTACCCTGAGGTGAGATTTCTAATAACCCCATTCCACAGATAGTGAGCCTGTGACTGAGGCTAGGGTGACTTGCCAAGGTCACAAAGCTAGTAAAAGGCAGGCCAGACTGAGAAGAAAGTGACAAGTGAGGAAATGATCACCTCATGTGACTCCCTTTGTGAAGGACCCAACTCCCAAGAAGTGAGGTAGGTTGGGGGACTGGCCCTACCTCGGAAAGCATGACATACTGGCCCCGCCTGCCCAGTGTGATGCTCAGGAGGTCATAGATGGCTGAAGCATTCTGCAAGCTCACTTTCCGGTCCTCCTCCTGCTCTGGGGCCCGACTCAGCACCACATCCCTAGTTGCCTGTGGGTGGAATGGAGATACAAGGTAAGGAAGGACCTAGCATCATAGGGCCCATATTGCAAAGCCACTCACAGTCACACTTCATGGCTGTCACAATCCAGGTAACTGACCACACCCTCAGAAATGACCTCCCTTCTCCCCACAGAGCTCTCTCCAAAGACAGAAGACCCTTGGCCCAGGTGTGTGTGGGGTGAGGGGTTGGGGTCATCCTAAGGCTGGAGGCCTGGTATTCATTTGGAACGCTGCAAGACTTCTAACCTAGGGAGCAGTTGCAAATGCTATGGCTACATGCCTTTCACCTAAACATACCCTGTTGACACTCAGCATCCCCCACCCCACTTCCCTTCGGGCTATTATCATCAATGCCTTCTCTCACTAATGCTCCTTCTTCCTTCTTCCCGGAGCTAAGGGTAACTGATCAGCCCCAATAGTTGCAGGGCAAAGCGACATCCTGGGGTCTGAAATGACTCTCATACAGTCTCATAGCTAGGCCTGGCAGAGCTGAGCTCTGGCCCCACACTCTCACTGATGACTCCCAGCATGCTCCTCTCTGACCGCTCTCCCCTGCCTAAGGGGCCCTTGTCTAGCAAGCATCATCCTCCCTGCCTGAGTCTGCTCTGTTCCTCACAGACTACCAACCAAGAACTGGCCTGCTGGACAGAAGGAAAAAGGAACTGTGGGTTCCACCAGATCCAGGGCACCATCCACCAGTTGTCCTCACAGCCTCCTCCTGCCCTGAGCCACCCTCTTTCCTGCAGACAAGAGGCTGGAGCTCTCATGGGCCAGCAGAGTTAGGACACGGAAACCCCATTACTTATAGACTCTAGGATGAAACATGTCCCTTAGAGGCTCCTGAAAGCTAACAGGCCCCCCTGGCCCCAAAGAACTAACACCCTTAGGGACATCTGAGGCAGAAAGACAAACTGGTGGCAATGGTTCTGGACAGCTTCCTCTTCAGCCATGACTGTGATCGCTGTTCCTCCTCCTCAAGAAACAGATGGCCAAGGAGGGGATGCCTGGGATAGAATGCCAGGAATGGCAGGAAACCCTCAGAAAGATCAATGCTAGAGCCAACCTGATAAACCGAGCCAGGAGCTGCAAACAGTAAAGGAAGGAAAAGCGCCAAGAAATCCCTCTCCCTCCCGGAGAGTCCCACCCACACACAGCCAAGTGGGAACGCAACCTGCGTTCTAACCCTCGAAATATACCTCCCCACTCCTCCATCTCCAGCAGCTCTTAGCTTCAGGCACCCAGCAGGGACCGTGGGTGAGTGGGCTCCTCCAGGTAGCAGCGGGAAAGGAAGGAGGGGATGAAGAACAGAGATTGGGGTGGGGGGCTATGGGATGCAACTGCGTGTGCATACTGGAATTGAGACTCTGAGTAGGAGGAAGAAATCAGGATGGAAGGGATAGGCCAGGTGTTCTGCACAGGTGGCTTGAGGCGGAGGGGGCATTGGTGGGCACATTCAAGAACTGAGGAATTCACCCTGCACAGAAGCCATGTTGGGAGGAGGTGGGGGTGGGAGAGTGAGGAGCCTAGTGTCACTACTTCCCTCAGGGTGACAAACTCCTTTCTCTGGCTGCCCTCCTAAGAGACTTCTCACTGGCTGCACAGCCTGCCCCGCTGTTTCCTATCTTCAAGGCTCAACTGAGTCTGGGCACTTTGTAGCCCTCTGTGTCAGCCTGCTAGCCACTCCCAGCTCGGGTGGCTGCTGTCCTGTAGCCCACCCACCTCTCTGCCGCGCGGGTATACTCCAGGGTCCTGGCAGCCCCGGCTGGCTCATCACTCCTTGTGTCGGGGCATGCCATTTCTAGACTGAGCTCCTCGAATCGTTAAAGCGCTTCATAAATCCACCTTTGTGTGCCAGCCCAGGAAGACAGCCGAGGGCTGGCCCAGAAACTCCTTCTTTGTCTACCCTAGGCCTTGCCCTCTAAGAGGACAGGCCTCTGGGTGTGTCTGGGGGGAAGGAGGGGAGGATTTTCAGAACTGGGTGTTATTTGAGCACATGAAACATAAGCAGGACGAGTCCTCCGGATGGCCTGCTCCCTTAACAGACAGACAGTGGTGAGGGCATGCTCTGAGGGGTCCTTAGTGCTTTTGTACAAGAGGGGAACATGGTTCCCACAGGGCAGCCTGAAGCAGAAGTCTGCCCAGCTGTTATCATAGCTTGGGGGGCAGGGTTACCAAAAGCCCTAGTGTTGGTTGCTGGGCAGTGCCTGTGTATGTAACCATGGTAATGGGTTTGGGTGGGGAAACTGGGGTAGAAAAAAGGAAGTCCTAGGGCTGGCTGGTAAGCCACACAGGGCATGAATTCATGCGTGGCTCTGAAGCCAGAACAAACCTCGGAGTCAGGGGGGCACTACCACTAAGCTTACAGTTCCTCCCCCGCGGCGCCCCAGCCTTCCCCAACCCTCTTCCCTGGGCTCATGGCCCTCAGGGCACACAGGCCCACAGGCTTCACAAGGAGCCTGTCCATTAGTCCCAACCACATTCTTTCCCTTTGCTCCACACACACATGACCTCAGACTCCTGCTTTCATCAGGAAGAGACTTCCGGATCCAGCAGTGACGTGAACGCATCCGTTAGAGCAAGTACAAAGCCACCGAGCTGCCTTCTGTGCTCTCCCTACTGTCACCCACCGTCCCCTATGCTGTTCTTGGGAGAAGGACGAATATTCTCCCTGGGTTTTCCCTGCTCGCCCTGCTGTGCCCTAGCTTTTGGCTTCTGCTATGGGATGCTCTGCCCTTATTTAAGTCAAGCATTTGGTCCCCAGCAGGACCCCCAGAGGTGTCCCTATTCCTTACCTCTGTCCCTCTGGTGGTTCCCCCAGGGTAATCTGTTCCAGACTAGATCTTTCTAACTGTCAAGAGACCAGCCACACTCCAGTCATCTAACAGCTCAACACCCTCACCATTTCCTACCACTAACCTTTGGACAAATGTCCCCAGACAAAACCAGGAGTCATCCTTGCCTCTGGCAGGCACACCCTTGTTGAGGAACACTCCCTAGGTGCAGGCCTTGGGAAGGGAATTCTCACACCTGTCAACTTATCTGGCCCAGGAACCCCAACAGTAGTGCAGTAAGACCTTCCCAGGGGAGGGCTCTGAGCCCTCGGAGATGGACATCCAGAGCCAGCTCAAGGCCCTGTGGCTTTCCTGCACACCAGATCAACTACCCAGACAGTTCCCAATCTCCACCAGATGCGGCTCAGCTGGCACCCCTGCAGAGCCCGTCCTCCACTTAATCCTGGACCTAGCTAGAGTCCCCATCAAAATGGGGGAATGGAACATTTCAGAAAAGTAGCATCTGATCCTTCCCACACCCTCTTGTCTACTCTCATTTTACAGGAGACCGAGGGAGGCGGCAGTAAACTGACCAACACACACAGAGGGAAAAGACCTCACTGAAATCCAGATATCCTGGTTTCACCCTGGCTGCTTCCCCGATTCCAGGTTCCTCTGGGAGCATATCTGGTAGTCTTGACTGATAACCATCAGAGGCTGGAGAAGCACCTAAAGCAAAATGCAGACAGGGTCTCCCCAGTAAAGTCTTGGGTGCTGTCTCTTTGCAAAGAATAGGTTCTTGAAGCAAGATGCCCAAAGCCCTGCTCAGGTTTCACAGAGACAGCCTTTCCATCAAGCAAGCAGGCCTCAGGGCCTGCCGACCCCCGGACAGTCACCCCAGAAAGAAGGACCTAGGAAGCATCTGTGTGTCCAGTGCTAGGCTCCCCCTCCCTGGAGGACCATCATGTGTGGCTCCTGCTGGCGCCCTCCACTGGCAGACACGATTACCAACAGCTCTTGAACAGCCAGTTCACAGAGCCAAGAGCTACTACCATGCTCTGTGACAGGCTTCATCTACCCAGCGACACAGTTCCTGTGGCAGATGTCACAGTCTTCCTGTCATGGGTACTGAAACACAGGCTCTGAGATGGCAGCCTTCTGCAGAGCAAGGCCTTAAGTCAGAGCAAAGCCGGTACCAAAAGCTAGGACACTGTGTTTTATCTGCTGAGTCCCAAATGCAGCCATGCCTAAGAAGCCCTTTTCTTTAAAATAGCAGACCAATGCCCTCAATCTTCCAACTAGATTACAAGCTACATGTTTTCAAAGACAACTCAGTCAGAATCAATCCTTTTCTGGCCCTCAGAACAAAAACATGCATCGAACAACCCAAAGAGATAGCTTTGTGTTCATTTTCTTACTTTATCCACCCAAACTCCTTCCACAGAGGCCTCATTAACTCCATCTCACAGATGAACAAACAAGTTCACAGAGAGAAGACTCTAGCTCTGCTATGAGTGACAAGTACAGAGCCAGGTGCCTGGTACCGAGTACAGCGCAGAGCTAGTTAAGGCGCAGGGTCCCAGTCCCAGAGACACCCCCAACCTCCCACACTTGTTCCATATCAAGTACCTCTCTGAGAGGCCACACCAGCAATGAATTCTTTCCAGGCTCAACAAAAAAGGATGGAGGATTTAGCTGGTTCCCTCACTCCTGCACTACATATGAGTGCACTAGAGACAAGGGCTTCAGGCTATTATTTTATATACGGTGCTGAGTGTAGTCCAGCACAGCACCGCTGCCCAGTGAGATTAAGTGACAAGCAGTGCTGAATCCATAAACCGATTGTTGGAAAGACGTTGGGTGAGTGGATGGACAGGTGGGCAGGCAAACATGCCGCATGGATGAGAGACTGACTGGTGGGTAGTCTGGTAGATGTATAGATATGAGTGAGTAGAATTTGAAATGCTCTTTCAGCCCTCAAGATAAGAAAGTGTGCCCAAAACATAGATCTTAATCAGTTATAAATCAAATCCCTTATGTTACTGGGAAAACATTGGTGATTTCTGTTTATCGCTTGGAAGACACGTTCCATCATCTGACCACTTGGGTTAGCACATAACAAATGCCATATCCTGGCACCAGACATACACACAGACCCCATACAGTTACTCTGAGTTTCTAACCATAAAAGCGGGCTACGGCACTCAGGGATCCACAAATACCCTCTGCCAGGTGGCTGCTCTGGACATGCCGGAGGTGAGGAGCAATGGCGACAGTGGCTGTGGGTTGGCACTACAGGAGCAGCTTTTACCGCAGTCTACGAAACACTGCAGAGTCACAGCCAAGGCTGCCAGCTGCTGCTCTAGAGGCTTGTCTACAAGCTTGTCATCCACAGCTAAAGCGAGCCAGCTGCAGTGATGAGGAAAATCCCTCACGCACAGAGGCCATGCTAAAAGTTCGTGGAACCTTAGGGAATGGAACTGAGGGATCAGAGCAGGAGCTGATAGAACCCGTAGTTCAGTTCACATTCTCGCTAATCAGCTGGAGGAGACAAGACGGCACCTGCAGCCAAATATGATGACTGATGCTGCCCCCCACAACTGGGTTTCTCTGTGTAACAACAGCACTGGCTGTCCTGGAACTCCATCTGTAGATCAGGCTGGCCTTGAACCCACAGAGATCCACCCGCCTCTGCCTCCCGAATGCTGGGGTAAAAGGCGTGTGCTACCACTGCCTGGCAATGATGACAGATTTCGATTCCCAGGTCCCACACAGTGGAGAGAACTGATTTCCACATGTTACCCTCTGACCTCCATTAATCACACTATGATGTGTGCATGCCCACATACATAAAATAAGGTAATTAATAAAAAAGAATGTGCTGGGCATGGTAGTGCATGCTTTTCATCCCAGTATACAGGAGGCTGATACAGGCAGATTTTTGTGAGTTCAATGCCTGCCTTGGTCTACATAGTAAGTTCCAACCCAGCTGTGGTGTTATGAATAAAAATGGCCCCAATAGGTCCATGGGGAGTGGCACTATTGGGAGGTGTGGCCTTGTTGGAGTAGGCGTCGCCCTGTTGGAGGAGGTGTGCCGCTAGGCGGTGGGCTTTGAGGTCTCAGAAGCTCAAGCCAGGCCAGTGTGTCACTCTCTCTCCCTGCTGCCTGTGGATCCAGATGTAGAACGCTCAGCTACCTCTCCAGCACCGTATCTGCCTGCGTGCTTCCCACAGTGACAGCCCCAATGAAATGCTTTTAGTTGCTGTGGTCATGATGTCTCTTCACAGCAATAAACCCTAAGATACCAGTCAAAGCTACAGAGTGAGGCCTTGTCTCAAAACAAAACAAAAGGAAAAGAACATAACTGGAGGGAAGGAAGGTATAAAAGAAAGGCAGGTTTGGTCTCTGAGAACCCGCTTTGAGCCCCAGAGGCCAGATTTGTTGGGAAGGGAGAAAGGTTTCAGTAGATATGATAACGAAGGTTGTCAACTCCCTCATTTCCAAATGTCTGGCAGGGTTGCTGTGGACAAGAGGAAACAAACCAGCCAAGCCAAAGAGGTACCTCCTCCTAGCAACCATGCAAGTCAAACCATGCAGCCTCTTTACCCAGCATGCTACAAGCTAGCTAGTGTGGGGCACTGTGTCTCCAGGGCAGGTAAGCAAGCTACACTCAAGGCAACACTTGGAAAAAGGTCTATATGCAGGGAAATTCACAGGTTCTGGGAATGGGCCACAGTCTAGTAGCAGGCCACTCTCTGCTTTGAGAGTTAGGGCAGCTTAAGGTATCTGGGCCAGTGGCGCCAATAACCTTAAAGAGACAGCCACCCGAACCCTGGTCCTGGGCTCTGATCCAGAAGAAGCCATTGGTGTGTGTGTTGGGGGAGGGGGTAAGTGACAAGAACAAAAGAGAGAGAGGGCTAGTGGTGTGTGGTGTCGCACGCCTTTAATCCCAGCACTTGGGAGGCAGAGGCAGATGGATCTTTGTGAGTTCGAGGCCAGCCTGGTCTACAGAGTTGAGTTTCAGGACAGCCAGGGCTATAGTAGTTAGACCTTCATCACCGTAGGGAATTTGGAGCCCCAGGAGCTTGAGGGAACTGGTCACATCACACACACACACACACACACACAGTCATGACAGACTGAGGAACACACCCATGCCTGTCAGCACTCAGCTCAGCTCATCTGCTTCAGTCTCAGAGCCCTCAACCCCTTGGCCAGGAAATGATGCCACCTACAATGGGCGGGTCACCCCACCTCCCCACATGCCACTCTGATCGGGACATTGCGATTCCCCTCCCGGATGACTCTGGGTTGTGTCAAGCTGGCCAAACCAATCGCCTTACTCTCTTCTGAGGACACAGACAACAGTGACTCTGGCCCAGGCCTGGCAACAGACTCCCCCAAGACCTCATACATTGCATTTTCAAAACTACCTCACTGGCCCATTCATGGGCGAAAGAAACAAGGACCAGAGCAGCTAATGAGCAGACCTGTGACTAAAATCCAGGGACCTGGGGCCTGGCCTTCATGTTTGTGGAAACTTGTTAGTTAGAGGTACATGGTTCATAGCACAAAAACAAAGATTATTGTGTGACCTTGACCAACATGCATGCTCATCCATGCCCTTCCCTCATTCTGTCTGTAAAATGGGGACACACTAGTATTAGTGTGACCTGCGTGAAACTATCTGTGCCCCTTACTTCTCCTTCTTTTGGAGCCAGAGCCTCAGGTAGCCCACATTGACCCCAAACCCTTTTCTGGTTTTTTTTTTTTTTTTTTTTTTTTAAGAAATTTTTGCTTTCTTTTTTTTTTTTTTTTTTTTTTAAGATTTATTTTTATTATGTATACAGAGACTGCAGGCCAGAAGAACTCATTGCAGGTGGTTGTGAGCCACCCTGTGGTTGCTGGGAATTGAACTCAGGACCTCTGGAAGAGCAGTCACTGCTCTTAACCCCTAAGCCATATCTCCAGCCCCCCCTTTTCTGTTTTAATCTGAGACTGACCTTGAACTTCTGATCCTCCTGCCCCTCTTGAGCCCACCTTCTGAGGGCTGAGAAAATAGACAAAAGCCAGGTTTCATGTCATGTTGGGGGACAAACCCAGGGCTTTGTGAATACTAGATAAGCACTCTACCAACAGAGGGGCACTCCCAACCCCGGCACTTGTTTTTGTAAGCCGTAAGTAATTGAAAATAGGTAATTTCATATACTTCAACATAATGTTTACCTAGTGAGGTGGCCACCTTGGCCCCTAGCAGAGAAAGGTCTTATTTTGACCTTTTTATTGTCTACATAGAAGTTACACTGGACTCCTTGGCATACACGGTGACATTTGCCCACATCCCCAGAGACAGGTGACCCTAGTGTAGTCAGTCTCACAGGAGGGTACAGGTGATGCAATGGCCAGGTGGAGGGGACTCCAAGAGTTCTACACAAGACCCTAAAATTTAAAACTGAGATTCAGTCCCTGGTCAGAGAAAGAAGCCATTTCCAGCTCCCCAAAGAACAAACCTGACACTTGGTACTTCTGACTGCTAATCTGGCTAACAGCTCGGTGTCCCTCCCTGTGAAGCAACACTTGCCCACTGCACAAGTATGCATGGCTTTTATGACAATGCCTTGTCAGCTGGCACCCAGGTTCCAAATGCCCTTTAGGCAGTAACGTTCAGATCTAGAATGGCTCCCATGGCTGAGGAAGGGCAGTCTCCCTCCTCATGTCTACTTACCAGGAGACGTGTGCAGCCACAGGTCACTCACCCAAGTGTATCAGACAAGCCCCGGCATTATCCACACAGACAACCAAAGAAACACTCTTTTGTGATGGCTGAATAGTCCAGCTTAGGGCATGTCGCTTTCTTAACCTTTAGTTCTCAGATCCATCGTCTAAGAGAACTGTTTCTCAGCTGCGCACCGATGGACTCCAGAGCTGAAGGACTTGGACTCAGCTATGCAGACACACCCCCTTATATTCCTGGCCTCTCTAATCCATGTTCCTCCCTTCATGGGTTTCCCCTGGTGCAAGAGGTCTACCCTTCAACTCACACCTCCACGGCTACCCGACCATGCTCTCCTTCCAGGAGCAACTCCAAAGCACTCTGAAGACACACTGTCCAACTGTAGTCACCATGGGCATGCATGCACGCACACTCTCGCATATGTACCTGTCTTATTTTCTCATAGTATGCAAATGCAAACACAGACAGCCTGGATACTGGAATCATTTACTACTTCATTACTACCACCCCTGACCAAAATGTGAACTCCATAAGGACAGGGGCCCTGCCTCCATTTCACTTACAGCCACATGTCTGGCTTGTAAAATGGAACCAGGCACAGGACAGATAATCAATAGTTGTTGCAAGAACATGAATTCTATACAAACTTACTTCCGAGTTACCATCATCTCAGAAAGAATGACTGCTGAGTCCCCGACCCTCGGCTAACGTGTCACAATCCAGGTCTTGTGTCTCCAAATGCAATATTTGGCCTTGTCTGTTCTCTCACACCAGTCACAGCATCTAGTTGGCCAATGCTCACTGCTGACTTGTGATGATCAATTTTTTGTAATCCCAGAAGATGATTTCATATGCACTCAGTCCCTACCCACCTGAGACAGACATCGGGTCTCTCATCATAGCCCAGCACAGCTAGTGTGGTCAAACCCAAGACTGATGTGCCAGACTTGGAGAGAGAGAGACAGAGAGAGAGAGGGGTCAGGGCCAAGAAGCTCACACCTTCAGGGCATCCCTGGCAGGTAGAGCTTGACTAGGCCATGGATAGCCTGCATCTATCCCAACACTCTCCACGGCCCCAATCCCCTGGGGTCAGTGGAGCCCGGGCTTACCATGGACTCACTGATGAGCAGCAGCAGAAGCGCCTCCTCTATGTTGTCTTTTGGGCAGTAGAGGCTGGAAAACACAACAGCATTCCTGGCTGCAGCCCAGCCCACACCAACAGCACCTCTGGGCCCCTGGGACAGTTTGTGTCCTGAGTCAACATCAGCCTGGTAAGGTGACTCCTCTTCTGCATAATTCACAGGTACTGAATACCATGTGTAGCTCTTAACTGGCCCCTCTGAACCTGAAAGGCTGCTCCCACCCTGCAGAAGAAAGGGCCCATCCATCCCCAGCCTGGGATGAGGCATGGGGACAAAGCAAGAGGCCCCTGATGGTGACTATAGACTCCACCTTCAACTGGCACATCAAAGGAGGTGTGTTGGGAAGACAGGCAAGCTCCAAGTGTGTGGCTTCCGGGAGTCATGAAGAATTCTCTCCTCACCCCCTTCCCCCAGAGACCATCTTTCCTTAGTCTCTAAGAAAGCCTGGCACTGGGCATGGTGGAGGCTAGGCACGCAGGGTACGGTGAAGAGCCACCAGCAGGTGCGTGAGGGCAGGCAGCACTCACTTGTCTCCTTCGTAGAGGTGAGGTTTCCGAAGGGTCTGGGTGACGAAAGAGTTCTCCTCCTTGCTCATGAACTCAGGCAGCGGGTGGGACAAGGGGCTCCAGTAACATTCCTCACTCAGGGAATGCAGCAGAACCCCTGCCAGGTGCTTGGCCGCCATCTGGCAGAGAGGGAGAGATTCAGGCTGCGGGTAAAACTTCTTCTGCTTGCCTATGTGGTTCCTAACTAGCAGATCTGCCCACTGCACGCAGTGCTGGGCCTCTGGAGGGCCCCACAGCTCCATTCCTCAGTCCCCCTATCATGGAAGCCCACCACCTCTGCCATGGATGGCCTTGCATAGTCTACCCCATTTCTTCTCTCTTGGCTCCCTTCCAGGTGGGAGAAGGCAGAAGGCCACAGGTACAGGAGGCTCCCTCCCTACCAGACACCTTCTGGTGACTGACAGTCAACCCAAAATCCTAGTGAGAGACACAGCCATGGCTCCGATTTTGGAGGAACAAAGGTCTAACACAGACCTGAGTTGGGACACAAAAGGGGAATCAATGGCATTTATTATGATCATGACGAAATGAACAATGCCACACACGATTAGGATAGTTTTGCTCATGTAAGGGTTGGTGGTAGATTTCAACTCTGTTCTAATGCTAGGAGCCATCTTCAGTGACCTGATGAAGAAGATGAGATTGAACAGGGAGTTTGGTGGGAAAGCATGCTGGGATCAATTAATGATGTCTGCTGGGAGCAGAGGAGGATGGGCATAGGCATGCATGTGATATCTCTTAGGCCAGGGGTCTTGCTAGGGCTTGTGTTATCTCCCACCCAAATTGAGCTCTGCATAAACCAGCCACAGCCAATAGTCAGTCACATTACCACTTTGAAGTTCTGCGTTGCTTTGGTCTCCACAGTCCTTAGAATCTCCCGGAGCTCTCTCATGCCTTTCACAATGTTCCTGGAAGAGGCCAGCAAAAGCGAGATCATTGCTAACCAAGCTCCACAGATAACTTTCTTATCCAGCACCTACCACGTGGCCCATCCTCTTGGGTTTTCTTTGAGCACCGTCAATCAGTGGAATGAAAGCCAGAGCTGTAACTCCAGGACCCTGGAGGCCTAGGACTGATGACTGACAAACTGCTGCTGGTCGCCAGGAAAAACCACTGCTGCCCCAACTTCTCAGCCATACACCTCTCACCCCCACCCCCACCCCCACCCACTCCCGGCTTTGTAGCCTGGGAACTACAATAAACTACAATAGGACAAGACGGTGCAGCTCAAGTCCTTTGCCTTCAGGGAAGCCCGGAAAGCTACACACTCCCAGGGCTATAAATGCAGGCCTTTGTGAGCCTCGAAATGTAGACAGACACCTAGAGTAAGGTCAGGACACACACACACACACACACACACACACACACACACACACACACACACACTTCCCCTAACCTGCCCTGTTCACAGAAGAAATGGGCATAGAATAGGCAAGGATCATCAGCCTCCTGGTCCCTCAGTCCTAGGTCTCTGTGGCCCCCAGTCTCATCTGCATACATGGGCTTATGCTCAGTTCAGTGTCTACGGACTCCTTATCGGCATGCCACATTCTCAGATTTTACTACAAGTTCATCACCATTATTATTTCTGTAATACTTTTGCTTATATCTTCTTTTTACTTAGTAGATATCTCACTTTAATTTAAAATACTTAAAATTACGGGTTTGTTGTGTGTCGAGCGCTATCGCCTTGCCTGCAAGAACGACGCTCAACAACAGGATTCTTTTGCAGCTATGTTTATTGCGCAGCTCATTACAGCAAGTTGAGGGAAGACCCCGAGGAGGAAAAAGAACTCTGCTTATATATGCTCAGAGGAGTCGTGTCCGTTACTGACAGGTGCAGCCCGCAACGCTCGTAACGGTCACCTCATGACGTGGATCGCACAATCGCGCCTTGCTGGCTTATGAACAGGAAACCGGCGCCATCTTTGGGAATGGCACTGGTGTCTCTCTACAGTTGTGCTAGTTGGTTTTTGTGGATTTTTAAAAAGATTTTTATGTGTTTATTATGTATACACTGTTCTGTCTGCATGTGTACCTGCAAGCCAGAAGAGGGCACCAGATCTCATTACAGATGGTTGTGAGCCACCATGTGCTTGCTGGGAATTGAACTCAAGTGCCTCTGAAAGAGCAGCCAGTGCTCTTAACCTCTGAGCCATCTCTCCAGCCCTTGTGGGTTTTTGTTTTTGTTTTTGTTTTCCAAAATACATTAAGCACAGAAGTACTTTTAAGCACAGAAGTACTTTTAAGCACAGAATTTTTACAAGCTAGTGTGTGTACTACTTAATTCCATTGTGCTTATCACTAAAGGCCCTCAGCCTCCAGCTAGGAAATGAGGACTCAGATCAGAGCTTTTCAATGTCCCAGGAACTTCAGCATCCCAAGAACTTGTTAGCAATGACAGTTCAAGGTCTAGAGAAATGGTGCAATGGTTAAGAACACTTGTTCTTGCAGAGGGCCCAGGTTCAGTTCCCAGTACCCACAGGTGGCTCACAACCATCCATAACTCCAGCTCCAGGGTATCAGGCCCCCTTTTCTGACCTCCATAGGTTAACACAGGGTAATACATACATGCAGGCAAAACACTCAAAGATTAATAAATCTAAAGAAATTTTTAAAAAAAGGAAGGAAGAAAGGAAAAAGGAAGAACAAAAGAAACAAAGAAAGGAAGAAACAGGCAGGCAAGTCCTATGCTACTCCACCCCACCCTACCCCACAAAAAACTTAGAAACCATTGCCAAAGAGGAGTCAGAAAGACCACAAGAGCCAGAGGTCATGGAGGACCAAACCAAAGCAGTGTTTTCTAGATGACAGGGCCTCTACACTAAGGATACACAGTGGCTGTGGTTGTTGGCAGAAGATCAAGCCAGTCAGTGCTCTATAATAGATGGGGGACGGATGGAGGAGAAGTCCACGATCCCCCCCCCCCACTGAGGAGTTATTGACAGCTGATTTCTGGAGATCAGTTTTCTTTAAGGGTGTGGCTCCTGGTTTGTTCCCACACCCAGGAGAATATATTAATACAAATTGGACTCTGTGGATCATAAAGAAATAAAAGGACATGAAGTGGGAATCAGGTTAGGAAGGAGGGTGAACCTAGGAGTAGTTAGGGGAGGAGGAGGTGAATAAGATCAAAATACATTATATGTATGTATGAAATTCTCAAATTAGTAAAAAATATTACATATACATACAAGCATGCAGACATACATGCAGGCATACGTGTGAAGTGTAAGTTCTGAGGCCCCATTCCAATCTGTAATGGAAGACTCGGGTGGGAATCTGGCCTTGATCAAACCAGGGGACATTCAAGTTTGAGACCCACTGGCTGCGTTGGGCCCAATGTTCTCCTAATCTGGGAGCCAGGTTCCAGAAGGGGCAATTGGACAGGGAAATGCCACACCCCAGAGAATAAGAGGTGGCCAGGATGTCTCCAGAGCTTTTGAGGAAGTGGTAAAACAGGCACAAGTATACCAATGCATGCAGTACAGGGGTCACACTGTGAGTTACTCTCCTTTCTCCTAACAGGGATTCTGAAGGAGTCTGGGTTCCTGACATTGTCACTTTCATTATACTTTACATGGATGCTCAAGTATAATAATTATTACTAGTAGAAGGCAGAGGAGCTTGAGGGATAGGACCTCGGCACACAGCCACCTTCTCCCAGCCCCCAGCAGAACAGATTCCCCATCACAAAGAGGATGTCTCCTCCCAGCATAGAGGAGACAACCATCTTGACAGCTAAGCCCCCAGGCTGAGGCAGGCTGGTCCCCAGGGCTGTCTAGGGCCCTGAGGCCCAGAGGAGGCTGGCCACTCCTGGGGCCATGGGTGATTTTCCACTCTATGGGCGACCTGCCAGCCTCTTCCCAGGCAGCCTGGCTCAGACTGTGACCAGGAGGCTGGAGCCAAGAGTGCCTAATGCTCCTTCTACTGCCACAGGAGGGACTGTCATCTCTGTCACTGCCAAGGAGCCTTCATGTCCCTCAAGCCGCAGAGAGGCCACTCCTGGAAGCGGGGGAAGGGACACTGGTGCCCAGGCACTGACCACTCCAGTACATGTAAAAAACTAGTACTGCATTCTAACATGATCCTGTATTCCCAAGTTCTTGGTTTGTTTATTTTCAATCATTCTCAGATCTGTTAGGGATCTGGGCATCTGAACTGGCTCCCGGGAATTCTTCTGCAGAGTAAATCATCACCCTCAGGCATGTTTTGAGTCAATCCCAATTTTTATTGACTGTCTTTAAAGAAACAATCCACACAAGAGGTTCCCATGGCCATGGCCACACAGGGAAAGTCCCAATTCCTAGCCTAGGCTGCCTGGCTCTGCCTCAGCTTGCCCCTCTAAGAAATAAATGTCTAGATGGGGGCTCTCAAATGGCCCAGATGGCCACAACCTGAGCAATCCCAGCACAGCCTGCAGCTGCCTGCGCCAGGTGGGACTGGGGCTTTCCCGGGCCATTTCTGGTTGCCCCGTGAGAAAACAGCTTGAAAGATCTCTTTGTTCTGATCTCTCCTGCTGACCTTTCTGAGCTAAGCTGCCCACTTTTAACAATATCCAAACAGTCTCAAACAAACCCTGGCCCAGAAACGGGCTGCATGGGGAGAAGCCAGGAAGCCAATTATTCCAACTAAAGTCAAGTCCAATTGGCCGAGAGGCGGAGTGGAGGGGATAACAGCTCCGCTTACAGAGGACTCCAGGTGGAAGGGGGACTGTGTAGACCAGCAAGGCCCTCCATTCCCACCTTACTCAGCGGTGGTGCACGTTTTCCAAAGCCCTTGACCGTGACCACCAGTCTTCACAAATTTTCCCAAGACTACATCACACCAATTTAAACAGACGTGTGCCGTATTCAATGTCCTTACATTTCCACTGGGAGCAGTAGTGGTGGCACACACCTTTAATCCCAGCACTCAGGAGGCAGAGGCAGGAGGATCTCTGAGTTTGAGGCCAGCCTGGTCTACAGAGCTAATGCCAGGAAGAGAAAAAACCCTGTCTCAAATTAAGTAATTAATTAGTTAACTTTTTTTTTTAAGGAAAAGAAATTACCCACACCATCAAATATAACTAATATAAATAAAATAACCCACTCTAACCCCTTCTAATGGGAAAGGAAAGCCTAGAAGGTGCATGTCTTTCTGGGCACTGCCTGCCAAGGCCATAGGCTGACACAGCACTTTCAGACCCTGGAGAAAGACAGCATCTGTCTTATCTGTACACTCACACTTTCCTCCCCTGGCCATTTGAGTTCCAGAACTTCTGGAACTCAGTTCACTACGTCATTACAAAGTGCCCTCTGCATGTGTACCTGGTCAGCTGTCCTGCTTGTAACTGGTGGCCGATAAATCATTGCGGCGTAAAGGAAGACAGGCTGAGTGAATGAATAGCTCACCCATGGCCTTGCATATAAGGCACCCACGCCTGTTAAACTAACCTCTCTTGATTTTCTAGGAGCTTACCAAAAGGGCTTGCACATAGTAGGTGCTTAGTGATGAGGGCGTTGATTTGAAATAAAGTGACAAGCTAGATAGGACTGGTTGAGAGGACAGTGGTTCACACAGCTGGAATGTAGTCCCCGTTTGAGGGCTGGCATTACACATGAGAGAGTCCCAGCCAAGCACCCAGAAGAGCGTGACAAAGCGGCAGCCACCAGCCACCAAGAACAAGGTCAGGTGAAGCTCAACGGTTATCCAAGCTGTTCATTTTCACCACAGACCCAAACCATCTGCCTCCAAAGCAAACAATCTCCACCTTCAGAGTCAGGCCCAGCAAGGCAGACAGATGATGGCGGATTCAGAGTCCACCCAGGCAGATGAGTTTTCTTTTCCAGAGAGCTGGGGGAGGTTGCAGAAGTGGGCACAAACAACAAATGAAAGTTGTGCCTGGAGAGCAGAGCTGGGGCACACA